TGATTTGTTGCTTTACTTGTCAGTCATATGGCCTCTTGAGTGGTCCTTGGCCATTCAAATCGGCCAAGGTTCCCAGACCTTCTGCCGTTGAGTCTGAAGCTTTGGCTATGTGAGGCTACCAGGGCCATAGCTCAGTTGGTTCATGTGTGTGTCTTGTAAACATAAGATTCTAGGTTCAAATCCCAGTGGAACTTATGATGTCTATCATGCTCCTCCATGAGATGGACAAACAAGCACAAAATACACGAGGGTCAACAGTAGCAGTCCAGACTGATTTTCAGATCCTGGGTTCAAATCCCAGTGGTACCTCACTCTAGGAAAGGAGGCCCACCAGTTCCATCAGACTTCTGGCAATTTCGTGAGTGCATTTTGCACCACCCACCTCCCACCCTAAAAACAAAAAACGCCTGAAACAGAAGCTTGCGTGACATTTGAAAACTCTTTTATGCCGCCCACACTATATGACAAATCAAAGGCAGCAGCCCAGTCTGGTTTACACATCCTGGGTTCCAATCCCAACGGTGTGCCTCTATCAGTGACTTTGCTCTCCCACTCTAGGAAATAATAGTGCTTCAACATTCTAAATCTAGCTTCTATTCTGCAGAGACTCAATGAAGTCTCTTTTTTGCCACAATGCTGGTCATACAAAAGTCAGGAAGAAAAGTAGGTTCTGTGGTACAATGGGTAGCAGATTTCTAGACTGTAAAATGGGGCAGATCAAATGTTGTGTGTTTGAGTCCCACCAGAGTCACCTCTTCTTTGAAGGAGGTTGAACTGAGAGAATTTTAATTTTTGGGTGAACTATTCCTTTAATAAAGATCTATTCTAAAACATATATTCATAGTGCAAATTTCTTTTTAAAAAATGGCCATGAAGAGTTTTCATAAGAGTCACTTACCTGGCAATTCTCACAGCAGTCTCCATGAACGCATTGTGAGCCTTCAGTGAGCCTGCAGGTCATGGGATCACAGCATGGATTTTCACATTCCTTACACAAAACATTAAATCACAGTCATCAATGAGACATCAGATGTGAGTCAAAGATGATCCTACATTAATGCATAAATGATGCCATAGAAAATGATAATTTGAGCTAGATCAGCTGGGCTAGACTGAGTCACTACAGACACAGGATATGTGTGCAATACCTCGACTGTTCCACAGTCACACTCCTCTCCAGGGTCCAGAAAAGCATTACCACAGATAGACCCACTGTACAGTCTGGATGAGCTGGGGGTGTCCAGCAGGCAGCTGGGGTTGGCGTTGTCTAGAAACACACTCAGCTGCTCCAGACTACAGTCACTAAACAGCTCCGGGAACAGCGTGCTAGATAGACAAGGTCAGAGGATGTCATTTTCGGACAGTGCACACTATAAACTGCTACTACTACTAATAATAATAATACATTTTATTTATAGGCGCATTTCTCAACACTCAGGGACACCGCACAATAAATTTACGAACAAGACAATTGAAAACAAACAAGAAATACCATATACAGAGACAAAAACAGAGTAAAGTAGGACTGGACAAATACAATTTAGGTGAGATATGCAATCTTAAACAAGTGAGACTTAAGTCTGGATTTAAAAAGAGACAGTGAGTCAATATTTCTGATGTCTGGTGGTAGTGAATTCCAGAGCCGGGGAGCAGAGCAACAAAATGCCCTGCTCCCCATGGTGGAGAGACGAGCAAAAGGAACAGTAAGGTGAAGAGAAGAAGCAGATCTAAGAGAACGAGAGGTAATATGGATGTGGAGGAGGTCAGACAGATATGAAGGGGCAAGATTATGGATGGCCTTAAAAGTGAACAAGATAATTTTTTTAAGTCAATGTGAAACTTAACCGGAAACCAGTAAAGCTGCTGCAGAACAGGTGTGATGTGGTGAAAGGAGGGGATTCTGGCGATAATAAGGGCTGCTGAGTTTTGAAGCAATTGAAACTTATAGAGGGATTTGTGGGGAAGACCAAAGAGAAGAGAATTACAATAATCGATACAGGAAATGACAAGACTATAAACAAGAATAGCAGTAGTATGAGGGGTAAGGGAGGGGTGAAGGTGGTTAATATTATGTAAATGAAAATAAGCGGACCGGGTGATGTTGGGTGTCATCCGCGTAACAGTGGAATAGGATGTCGTATTTATGAAAGATATTGCTAAGAGGAAGAAGGTAAATGATGAAAAGAAGGGGTCCCAGGACAGAGCCCCGAGGCACACCAGTGTTAATGGGGGAAGGTTGGGAACTAAAAGATTGTAACTGGACCAACTGAGTGCGATCTGAAAGATAAGTTTAAACCAATCTAAAGGGGTGTGAGTGATGCCAATAGAGATTAGTCTATTGAGAAGGATGGTGTGAGAAATGGTGTCAAAGGCTGCACTTAGATCAAGGAGGATGAGAATAGAGACTAAACCAGAATCAGCTGCCATAAGGAGGTCATTAGTGATTTTTATAAGTGCTGTTTCTGTACTATGAAAGGGGCGGAAACCAGACTGGAATTGTTCGTACAGGTTATTACAACTTAGATGAGAGTGAAGCTGAGTAGCAACTATTTTTTCAAGGATTTTGGAAAGGAATGGTAAATTGGAGATGGGACGGAAATTATTGAAATTATTAGGATTGTCACCAGATTGTTTTCAATATTAGAGTAATGGCAGCAGTTTTCAGTATTCCAGTAGTGAGTGAAGAGCAAATGATAGCAGACATGAGGGGAAACAGAGAGGGGAGGCAGACTTTAACCAAAACAGTGGGAAGCTGAAAAGCAGAAAATAAGTAAGATATTGGGCAGAAATCAGAGGAAGTGCTGAGGGAGGAGTTTTAACCTAGATGCTGGTGGATCTTATGTATTTTCTCATTAAAAAAGGACATCAAAGAGTTACAAAAGGCAGAGTAGACCACATATTTTATTTTATTGTTTGTTTATCTAACTGCAACAGAAGGCTCACATTGTGTTTTCAGGATAGTGAAGTTTAAAGGTTCAAAGAGTTTTATACACTTGCATTACTACCCTTGTAAAGTAGTGCACATAATTTCACTGAATGTGCACTTGGTAATGTACTTTAAACCTTAAAAGAATATATTTTTTTAAATGCACTGATCTGACATCTGACCAAAGCAAAAATTGAAAACACAGTGTAACGTTCCACAAATACTGCTTACCCTACACGTTCTGTCATGATACAGATGGAATTGAAA